CCCCGTGGGGGGGCGCGTGGGGGCGCCTGGGCCCCAGCCTCCCCTTCGCCACGCCACTCTCCGCTGCCTGGTCGCCTGGGGTCGGGGCGGCGCCTGGACCCGGGAGGGAAGGTGGGGGGCAGGCGGTGTGGCGCGGCGGGTGGGGCAGGGAGGGGTCTCCTGACCGCAGAGTTGTCCTTCGCGGGGATTTATTGAGCGCCTTGAACTAACTTGATTAAAATCACGGAGCTGTCTAATCCCAAGCGGGGGTAAAACTTTGGCGTGTTGTTGTGTGTTCTTTTAAAGCGTTCTTTCCGCGGCTCACTAGAGCTTTGGGGGGCAGAGATAGGCCAGGGTCACAGCCCCAATGGCTTGGCTTAGTGGCCCCTGTGACTGCATCAAACCCTGACTGCACGGGCCTCAGACACCTGGGTGTCTAAGAGGACCCTCCACTCCTCTTTGGCCTCAACAATTCCCGAGAGGTGGGGGGGCAGAAAAAGGGGAAGCTGGGGACCAGCGCCTGGACTGGCACTCAGCCTGGGGTGGCCAGGGACCCCCGCTTCAGCCTCCCCTCCACACCTGGCTGCACCTCCGTTTTCCAGGGTCTCTCCCGCGGCTGCAGAGAGAGGTCCTGATAAATGGTCTTGAGCGTTACAGAGACTAAGTACCATGGCAGCTGGAAATTCTTCCTGTCCTCAAAGCCCCTTGGGGACTGGAGCTAAACTCCCAGCCCCCGGGCATCGCCTCGCACCTGGACCATCTGAACAGACCGCCCTCCTGCTTGCTTTCCAGTCCCTTTCAACCCACCCCGCAAGGCTTGGTACTGGGAAGCTTCCAGGAAGATCATTCTTGCCCACCAATGAGGTAGCGCCATGCTCTTGCTCAGAACCCTTCCGTGGCCCCTCATCACCTACAGGATGGAGCCCAGACTCCTCCTCTTGGCCCAGGAGGTCCTCCTCCCATGTTTGGTCTCTACCCACTTCTCTGCCTCCCTCCTGGGCTGTAGCGGGACCAACTCCAGGCCGTCCCCAAAGGCGTCTCACTCGTTATGGGTGCCTTTTCCGCTTCCTTGGAACCTCTGTCCCTGCACATGGGCACAACTCCCTGCTGCCTGGGGACTCCCACCCTCCTTTGATCCCCACCTTTAAAGGGTCCCCGGCGAAAGGAAGCCTTTTCTGGCCTCTCCCCTCTTCTTTGTGTCGCCACCCCATCTTGGACATGTTTTATCTTTGCCCTCGTTCCACTTTATTACAATTATTAGTGACATCTTTTGTTTCCCCTACTTTCAGAACCCGTCAAGGGAAGGGATTGTGTCTTTTCCACTTTTGTGTTCCTGCTGCTTCTTGCAGAGTGTGATAGAGATAGCTGATCATGGTTGAATTGTGGCGAGCCCGCACGGCCATGGCATACTCAGCCCCAGGGCACCTTATGTGCCTCACCAGCTCAGCCAGGTTCAGGGGCCCTGAGAGGGGGCGGTGGGAAGGCTCTGCCCTCCAAGCTGGGACTTGCACGGAGCCATGAGAGGACTGTGCCCTCTCATTAGTCCGAGGCTTGAACCTGTCCAAACGCGGTAGCCACTCTCCACATTGAATGGAGATGAATGAATGAATCGATGAGCAAATGAACAGACAGATGAAGGAACACCCATCTTTGGGCTCCCCCTCGGCTTCTCCAGGTGTGAATCACTTTTGACTAAGAGCAGATGTACCTCCCACAGTCGCTTCTCAACGCTGGAATTTCCGTCCTTAACAAAGTTATGTGTTTACTCATTTTCCCAATATCCCTTCTGCCTTAAAAAAAAAAAAAAAATGGTGTGCCACTGGCATGACTCATCACAGTGTTTATCTTTGTACCTGACTGCTATGGGGAAATGGACGTGTTTTAAAATACGTTAATTGAGAATTCCCCAGTTTGTGTGATTTCTCAATTCTTTACCTTAGTTCCTCAAGTGTTCTCTCCCACCTGAGGTTCATTTTTTAAAGGATTTTTTATTTTATTTTTTATAAGTTTGGGGTATTTTTTTTTTATTGATTTCAGAGAGAGGAAGGGAGAGCGAGAGAGATAAACATCATTGATGAGAGAGAATCATCTATCGCTGCCTCCTGCACAACGCCTCCCCCTCCCCGCCCCCCTGGCCGGGGATTGAGCTTGAGAGGAAGGGAGAGCGAGAGAGATAAACATCATTGTGTGACCTCCTGGTTCATGGGGTCAACGCTTGACCACTGATCAACACCAGCCGGACCGTCCCTACCTCCCTAGAGGCCACCACAAATCTCCTTTGTCCCCTGGGAAGGACTGAGGAGCTCCCAATGCCTACAGCGGCCAATGCAAGTGAAGTCCGCGAGCATCCTGGCCTGTGGTAAGATTCCAGAATGAGAAAGGTAACACAGCAGGGATGGATGGCCTGTCAGCACCATATTGATTGGAAAATGTTTCAATACGTACATTTAAATGCACAACGAGGGGCGGGGGAGTATGTTATTGTAAGCATCAATTTCTGAATTTGTGGGTTCTCTGGGAGGATAGTTTCAAGTCTGTCCTTTAATTAAAGCAGCAGTCTGCTTCCCTTTTGGGACAAGGAAGTTGTTACCAATACCACTAATTTTTTCCAGGAGGACCAATATAGCTGGAATGCCAGCATCCATCTCCTATAAACAGACCCCAGGAGCAACCTTCATTGTCTCTAGCTGGTGGATAGTTCAGCTTTATGACTTGGCTTTGGGTCATCATGGGGGCAGGGGTAGAGTGGCTGACATTTATTGAGTCCACACTTCTAGCTGCCGTATATCTTTGATCTCTCATTCCTCACAACAACCCTATAAAGGACTTATTATTGTTGCCACTTCGGGGAGAGAGAGAGAGAAATGGAAGATGAAAGAGGTTAAAGGTCACAGCCAATCTGCTGGATTCTAAAGTCCAGTAGCTTTGCAAGGACTTGGCCCAGGGACGTCTGTCATTAGCATTCATTTTTTTCAATAACTATTTGTTGAGCACCTACTAGGTGCCAGGACCTGGCATTTACAGTTTAAACTTTGTCGCCTGGCAGACGAGCCTTTTCACCATAGATCCCCTGACCCCAGCTTACTTTTCCAAGCCCATTTCCTGAATTTCTTCTGCTTGCTGAACCCATTCAGCCCCCTAATCTGAGTCACCCCCTGAGCAGATGCCTTTTGTGTCCCAGGCCACCTCCCTTCGGCCCATCTCGGATTTCTCCTGCAGCTGCAATGGACAGTTCCCACGGGCTGTGAGGGTCTCACTTCAAGCACCCACCCGTATGACTCTCAACTTTATTGCCAGAGGCTTTTTCTCAAAATCACAAAGCTCTGCCGTAACCGGTTTTGCTCAGTGGATAGAGCGTCAGCCTGCGGACTGAAAGGTCCCAGGTTTGATTCCGGTCAAGGGCATGTACCTTGGTTGTGGGCACATCCCCGGTGGGGGTGTGTGCAGGAGGCAGCTGATCGATGTTTCTCTCATCTATGTTTCAGACTCTCTGTCCCTCTCCCTTCCTCTCTGTAAAAAAAAAAATCAATAAAATACATTTTTTTTAAAAATCACAAAGCTCTGAGTGGTGTCCCAGATGGAACTTCTCTGGGGGAAGTTATTCCCAGGGGCATTTCATGGCCATTGGAATCAGGAGTTGGTTAATAAGTGATCTCTTGGTTCATAGTTTGACGCTCAACCACTGAGTCACGCCAGCCAGGCTGGATGCGTTTCTGAGGCGTCCTCCAGATGCCTGCTCTGTAGTCTCCAACAGGAATGAGCCCAGTTGTTCATAGTGGTAACCAGTCCAGAATGAGCTCTCTATTGGCTTTCCCTTCTTCTGTCTCCCTCGAGCCTGCTTCCTGGGATAATCTCCAGCTAAAATACGCACACCACGCCT